TTCTCTTGCAAGTCACACCTTAGTAGGAGTTCCTCAAACTCCCGGGTGTAGTCTTCCACGGACTTCGAACCTTGCCTAAGCGTTTGAAGCTTAGCAAAGTTCTCTCGGTAATATTCAGTGGGTAGGAACTTCTTCTTCAAGAGACTCCTCATCTTTTGCCATGAGTCAACGGGAGGCGTCTCACTTCGAATCCGTTTGGTGCAGGTGTTCGTCCACCAAGTGGAGGCGTACTTGCGGAATTTTAAGGCCACAATCTTGACCTTCTTGTCGTCGGAGACTTCTTTGAAATCAAAGACTCGTTCCACCGTCTCTAACCACTCAAGAAATTCATCCGGATCATTCTTTCCTTCAAAGATTGGAATATCAACTTTGAAGTCAGAATAGGACTTTTCGTGAGCCCTAGCTCTCATGTTGGCACTAGAGCTAGCTTCCTCTTCATCTTCACTATCTCGTAGCATGGACATCTTTTGCTTTGTGAGCTTAGCCACTTCTTTGGCTAGGTATTCCACTTGAGCTTGTAAGGCAGCGTTTGAGGCCACAAGTTCTTCATGAGACATGCTTCGGGATCGGTTTGAAATATCTGAAAGAGGCACGAAAAAGGATTAGGGTGTGGAGGGGGTTGATGGCCGAAAGTGAGAGGAGAAGAGTGAGGGAAGTGTGTTTTGGTCCTAGAGAGATGTGTGACAACAAGCTCTGATACCAAATGATGTACCTAACCTTAAGAAAAGCTATGGATGAATAAGGGCAGATTAAAGATGGGAATATATGGTGAAGAATAGGTTGAATTTGTGTATGAAATGGTGAAGAAAGTATGGTTGTTTGGAAGAGGTGATAGGGTGGAATGGAGGGCAGGAGAAAGGCAATATTTGGAGTGGTTTTTTGATGAAGAAATGAAGTGTTTAAATGGGAGAAAGGGGATGCACGAAATTGGGAGAGAAAGAGGGAGTTCTTTTGTGGTTTTTGTTGGATAAGGATAAACCAAATAATAAATAGGAGATAAACACACTCTTATTTTATTTGGGGCTGTTTCTTTTCACACAATAATATTCACTATTATTATATGAAATAGACTCCTAACACACACTCAAAAGTAGCCAACTTTAGAGATATTTCATTAGGAAATGGGGAGAACTAGCTTCACACTAATTCAAATATTTTACTCAAGGAGTAAAGAGAATAAGAATACAA